AGGCTACAGCGTAGGAATCATTCCTGCTAATAGCGATCTGCGAGTTTAGTGCAAAAACGCATGATCTCACCGGAGAGCCTGGTGCGTTCCAGCCTGGGTTGCAATTTGCACATATGCAAAAACGCATTATAATAACAATGATAAAAATAACAATAACAACGATAATAATAATAGTAATGATGATACGTATACGCATATATTTGCATACACTGAAATTTTTATGTTTTTAGCTGGAGACAGTGATGGCGGAGTTCAAATTAACAAACGATACGCTGCGCCGAATGATGGCGCATATGTCGCGGAATATGGATAAGGGTCTTGAGGGTGGACCCGAGAAAAGTACCGTAGCTATGTTACCTTCATTTGTTCCTGAACTTCCTGATGGAACAGGTGATTGTCTCCACGCTTATTTTCAAAATCATGCAGTTTAAATTTCTGCACTTTTTGGTGTATGGCAGTATATTACAGATAACGAACGTTCTCTGATAGTAACCTTAGAGGTCCTACTGGGAATATGATTTGCGGGCAGCACTGAATTAGAAACACTGATATCAGAAATACCAAACCACTTGGTCTATCAGTGTAGGATTGCCCTTTTAATGATGCTTCCAGACACTGAGTGCAGGATTTGGATGCTCTTACACGCTGAGTGCAGCTATGCCGGGCCATTCGATCCCGGACTGCACACCTCCAAATAGCACCCACCGTCTATTCTATCTATGTGCACCACCTCTTCAGGAGCTACCCCCAGCGGTCTTTTACTTCCTCGGGGATATCGTTCGCTATTGTGCATCGTATACCGGTTGTCGGCAAGGCGGACAACATGTCATGCCTGTCGGATTTCTCATTCACACAGAACGCAATACTAATAATTTCTGAAAAATATGGAAGCAAAAGAGGAAGGTAACTTGGGATGTTTCGATATGCAGATTTTTGATCAGAGGGATGGCTCAATACTCCTTGAAACAAAGGCTTTCTATTTCTGCACTCCATTTTTGCAGTAGACGGAAAACACTAATTCATCTTGAAATCTACGAAAAATAGAGCGGGATTTTATGTGCATCCTACAACTCAATCTGAATCGCAACTGGTGGTTAGAATGGTTACACCTCTTTAAATTTTTTTACCCCTTGTTATTCCTTTTTTTCCGTGCAGCGCTAGAGCGCTGCAACAGGCAGCAAAAGCGCATATTGGAACGACCCTGTCAGTGTGTATATGTTTATGTGTGTGTGTTTGTTCGTCTGTCCGGGTGTTTCAACTCGCCAACAACGCAAGCTTTGAGGCTGAAATTTTGCGAGTGTGTTTCCCAGCCAAGTGCCACCCCAGGACCGCAGTATCAACTCTCACGCACGTCTGGGCCCCGCGTACGAG